ATGCCACCCAGCTTTGAGGGGGGGACGTGTGAGAGTACGACGGCATATGCTGGCTTTGCTAGCTTGCCTAGACTTGATATGCTATATCTTGATTGGGTTTTATTTATCATGCATAGATATGCTTGATTTCCTAGGTTAGGTGCATTCCTATAATTTATTATAGTTATAGCACCGAACCAGGTTGCGTGTACCGAACTCAAGCCTATTCGGTTTCAACCAAATTGCTTTCTACTGAGTTCGGGAAGGTTCCTGTTTGGGACGCTTTATGACCCTCAGAACATTCGCGTAACACCTGGGTAACTGGCGTTGTATCGAGACTATATGTAGCCTTGTGTTGTACCCAGGTGAATCATTGAATTACAATTCTATTTTCTGAGCTCGATCCTAGATCCTCACAAGCAGAGCAGGTGAACTGATTGGAGATCATGCCGGATAAGAGGCTTACCGACTCCTGCACCTGTCTCCTCTCCCTTCCCACCCCCTCTCCCATTACTCGGGTGAACCAGAGCAGCAGGTGAACCGCTTTGAGATCATGCGAGACAAGAGGTTCCTGGCGGCTGCTGGCAACCCGCACGCCTCTTCCAAATCGACTCCAACCAGCCGCAGCTGGTAGGTGTTGTGTTGTGCTGTGTTGTGTTGTTGTGAGCTGCCTTGTTGCAAGGTATCATGTGCCAACACCATCACACTAGCTGCCGCTACTTGCCACCCCCACATCCGCCTCTTCCAAATTGACTCCAACCAGCCACAACCGGTATGTCTTGTGTTGTGTTGTAGTGAGCTGCCTTTTTGCAAGGTATCATGTGCCAGCACCATCACACTAGCTGCTGCTGTAGGCAATCCCCACATCCGCCTCTTCCAAATCGACTCCAACAAAGCAGCACCATGCCATGCCGTGCCATGCCATGCCATGCCATGTCGTGCCATTCCATGTGGTGCATTGCAGTAGTAGCTGCTACTGCTGCCAACTCCCAGATCCGCCTATTCTTTCAGCAGCCAAATTGACTCCTACCAGCCAAGCCAGAATGCATTGCCATGACCTGCATTTTTGCAAGGAATCGTTGTATGCAACATCAGCCTTGCATGCATGCGTTCTAGCTGCTGCTGTTGGCGTGAGTTGTCTTACTTTCAGCAGATTGCAAGCAGCACCCTGTGTGTGCATGCCATCCTGACACACTGGCTCAGTGGCTGCTTTTGGTGGGTGGGAACCCGCTCATTTGACTGTTTTTGACCGGCTGCAACCAGCCCAACCAGCAACTGCGACACCATTGCAATAACTCATCTGCGTTGTTTCAGATCGACTGCTTGCGTGCATCCTTGTGTTGCGTGCTGCTTTTGACAAGGTGTCTCAATGCACATCTTATGCGACAGATAAATTCTCGCATCCACCGTTTGCAGATTGGTTCCCACCAGATGCAGACGATGTGAAACGATGTGGTGGCCTCTCTCTGACCAGATGATCAAGTCCTTCGGAAAGTATATGATGCTGTGTACAATCGATGCTTCAAAGTAATGACTTGCACATGTAGTCAGCAGGTGAACGACTTGCAAATGTATTCAGCGGCACGATGTAGTCAACAGGTGAACGACTTGCAAATGCATTCAACGGCACGATGTATATGGCGCTGCTTGATCTCCTAGCTGCGGTGTTGTTGAAACCGCTTGTCTTGTTTGCCTCGCCACCACATGTGATTAGCTTTGACAGGTGTCGAGCAAACCCACAACGTGTCTGCAATTAGTGGCTCCTCACATGCCTCCCCTTCCCCTCCCTTCCCCTCCTCGTCCTCCACTCTTCCTGACCCCTTCGTGAGAGGTTCTCTCTGGCGCACCAACAACACGACCGAAGGAAGGAGTTTCAGTGCAAAATACCTCACGCTCCTCCCTTTCCCCTCACCCCCCTCGCCCAAGGCGACGAGTCATGATTGGCACACACAGCACAGCTGTGGGCTATGAGTCACCCCAGGATGTGGCTTCTTGAGAGTGATGGCAGGTGCAAGTACAATCTAGCATGACATCTGAGCTGAGTATGGCGCTGTGAGAACGACTTGGAATGCGAGGTACAATCAATGCAATATCTAACATTGCAATATCAATGCGACATATCTTGGTCTTGGCCGTTTCGAAGTTCTGCAAGTCAAGTCATTCTAAAATCTTGGCCATTCTGCATCTCTGCAAGTAGGTGGTGAGGTCAGGATCTGAACTGCATCCTTCCCCTTTTGGCTCTACGACCTACATCTTCCACAGTTATCCCTGTGTCCTATATCCTCTTCCTTTGGCCTCAAACTTCCTCGTTTGCATCGATCCCTCATCCTTTGATTCACCTTTCTTGCCCACATCACTTTCACACTCCCACAATCCCTCATATATTCCATCTCACCTTCGGTGCACTCACTCACTTGCTTTCAGAGCCTTCCAATCATTCCATTCATCAATCTCTGTGACAGCTGGGCTACGGCTTCCCAACCAGATGGACCTCATCATGACCGTGCTACTGGTCCCTTCTCCTCTCTCCTCCCTTGTTTTTCGCGCATTCTCCCTGACTCCCCCAGAGCCTCACCACTGTACTAGAGGGACTAAGAGAGCCGGGCAGTGGTGCTGCACCCCAACCAGACGGAGCTGATCTCGGGCGATCAAAACGGCAACATCCGCGTGTGGGACCTCACTGCCAATGCGTGTAGCTGCAAACTGGTGAGTAAGTTTGGGTCAATGGGAGTCGACGTGAGTCAACGCCACTTTCATCTGTATTCGGATGTCGGTCGGATGACTGTAGGACTGTATGAACTTGTGTCATTATGGCCTTGTCTTTGTGCGACCGTCAAATCACCCATGGATTGCATGCATGCAGGTACCATAAGTGGACACGGCCATAAGGTCGGTGGCAGTCATGTGGGATGGCAGCATGGTCGTGGCAGCCAACAACAAGGGCACATGTTTTGTCTGGTGCCTCACCTCAGGCTCGCAGGTGCGTGTGTGTGTGTGTGTGTGTGTGCGTGCGTGTGTGTGTGTGTATGCGTGTGTATGTGTGTATGTGTGTGTGTCTGTGTCTGTGTGTCTGTCTGTGTGTGCCTTCTTGTACCCTCTCTCTCGTGCCCTCTCTTCATGCCCAATCTCAATGCTATATGTCTTCTTGCGCACACCCTTCCTCTGTGTGTGCCTGCGCAGCCCTCTTGACCCCGCCCCCTGCCCCACACCAGCAAGCTCACAAATGTCTCATGCTGCTCAACTGCCTCCTCTCTGCCCTTTCGACTCACGTAGCCCTATTTGTGCATTCTCTCCCTCCCTTCGCCTCCCTTCCTCTCCTCTCTCACCCGCCATAGGCAGACGGCAGCGAGCTTTGAGCCACTGCACAAGCTGCAAGCGCACAACAGCTACGTGCTGAAGTGCCTGCTCTCGCCCGAATTATCCGACCCCAACAGGTGTGTTTTGTGAGTTGACTGAACGTCAACTGCAGGCGCACAACACCTACTTGCACAAGTGCCTGCTCTCACCCGAGTTCTCCGATCCCAACAGTTGTGTTCAAACATGCTGCCTCTCTGCCATCGGTGCAAGCAAGGTCTCTAGAATTCTCAGGCGCACAAAAGCCACGTGCTCAAGTGCCTGCTATCGCCCGAATTCTCCGACCCCAACAGATGTGTTTAACCCCTGCTGCCTCTGCCCCAACAGGTGTGTTGCGTGCCTTCCATTTGTGCAGGCATGTTCTCTAGAATTCTCAAAGAACACAGCAGCTACCCGTTCTCTCTCGAGCTATCCGACTCCATTAGGTGTGCTGCCATTGCTTCACTCACGTCATCCCACTTGCACGCCACACCATCCAATTGCACATCGTATGTGGTTTGGTTGGAGATTCCTGCAGGGCAGTTTGAAAGAACATTTATACTTCTTACAGTTGTTTCCTTCTATGCCACTTGACACACTGTAATCTTCTTTGTCACTATGCTGGATTTAAGTATTAGATGTGTTATTTTTTTCACCTCCTCTCCTTGCTTATTTCTTTGCACATCCACTCTATCTCCTCGTTACTCCATTTTTTTCCCGTAAAATCCTCCAGTTTGCACCCCCTCATACATCCATATATACCCCATTACCCCCCCATAACCCACTCATAAGTCATCACCCCATTACCCCCACTTGAACCCACTCCACACCTCTTAATCAACCACTGCATCTTACCCTTATCTGCTTTTTCTTCCGTACCTCTTGACCCCTCCGTCCTCTTTTTTAGATACCTCGCTACAGCATCAGTGGATGGCACAGTGAAGATATGGAATGCGGATGGCTTTACCCTGGAGAGAACACTAAAAGGTAAACGTTACTTCCAGCCTCGGTGAATCCACCAATCTATGTAAAACCTGAAATGGTAATTTCATGCCTAAAAATCTAGTAGATGTCATTTCACGTTTGTGTCAATATGTTATTTAGATCCGCTTCTCTCTTTTTTGTTCTCCTTGCAGCATCCCTCCAAGTGCAATATACTCAAGCCCACCATCTTCCTATTCCCCCCCCCAATCACCAATCATTCTGTGTGTTTCCACATCGTTCTCAGGCCATGTGAGATGGGTGTGGGACTGTGTGTTCTCCATTGATGGAGCCTACCTCGTCTCATGTATGTATGTGCTTCTTAGATGCGTGTTTTCTACACGAGCGATGCATGTATTCGGGTGCGTGCATGTAATCAGGTGCGTACATGTAGTCGGGTGTGTGCATGTAGTCGGGTGCGTGCATGTAGTCAGGTGCGCGCATGTAGTTGGGTGCGTGCCCGTAGTCGGGTGCGTGCATGTAGTCGTGTGCGTGCATGTAGAGGGGTGCGTTCATGTAGTCGGGTGCGTGCATGTAGTCGGGTTCGTGCATGTAGTCGGGTGCGTGCATGTAGTCGGGTGCGTGCATGTAGTTGGGTGTGTGCATTTAGAGGGGTGCATGATGGTGCAGGACTGCTTGCTCCGTTGCTCTCTTTGATGCCCACTTTGTGTTTGACAATGCAATGCTCGAGATTTTGTTTGGAATTCATGTACAATGCGTCTTGCCTCAGGGAGCTAGGCAGCAGTAGCAGCACCTGTGTACCACAGACACCCCACTCCTTCGACCTCGTGCCTGCCCTTCTCTCTCCCCCACTCCCAACCCCTCCCTCTCCTACTCTCACCACATCCCCCCACTTCACCTCTGCAGCTTCATCGGACGGCACGTTGCGGCTGTGGGAGCTAGCGAGTGGCAACTGTGTGCGCGTGTGCCAGGGCCACCCAATTCTCTCCCCCTCTTCCCCTCCTCTCTTCCGCCCCCACTCTTCCGCCCTCGCCCCCTTGCCCCCCTCTCCCCGTTTGTGCCCAGTGCACCTCTGCAGCGTCATCGGACGGCACGTCGCGGGTGTGGGAGCTGGCGGGTGGCACCTGTGTGCGAGTGTACCAGGGCCACTATACGCTCCCCCTCCCCTTGCCCCTTCTCGCTCTTAACCCCTCTCTTGTTTGGCCCTTTTTGGACCTCTGCAGCGTCATCGGATGGCAAGTCACGGCAATGGAAGCTAGCGAGTGGCAACCATGTGCGAGTGTACCAAGGCCACCAGAAGGCTGTTGTGTGCTGCGCTCTCAACGACGGCACCAACCTCCCGCCTGCCTGAGGACCTTGATGTGTTGCTGTGCTTTCTAATTTGTATCATACCTTGATAGCTTATTGAAGAGAGGGAGCTGGCGAGTAGCAACTGTGTGTGCGTGTATCAGGGCCACCTGAAGGCTGTTGTGTGCTGCGCTCTCAACGACGGCACCGACCTCCCGCCTGCATGACATGATACCTCCCTCCCTGTCTAAAAAATATATTTTCTGTGATTCTGTAATTCATCCTCTTTATAAAGTCTTCCGCGCACTCTGTTTAGTACAACTCATAACACTTGGTATCAGAGCTACTTTCCTAGATTCCCCGTTTTTAGAGTGTATTACCCCTCGGGGAGGGAACAGGGAAGGATGCCGTGGTTTCAGGGTCAACGCAAGATCCGGCCAGGAGAATAGGTAAGCCCCTAGTGGCCATGAATTTCAAAGCGCTCCTGCGGCACCGACGGATCCTTGCCCTCGACGGTCGAGATGGACCGTGGCCTCCCTCCCCCCAGGTGGCGGACAGCTTGTGCTTGCGTGAGTTAACTGCTTGCGTTTTCGTCAATTTTGGAGTTAATGCTGTGTGGAAGCCACAAGGCCAGTTCACATGCAGGAGTACACATATATATAAAAGGCTAGACAAGCAAGATCAGGCGTATATATATTTATGTAACAGTACAAGCAAGGTCAAGAGGTGAGCAAGTGAGGCAAGGCAGGCACAAGACCCAGCTCAGTACAGAAGCGCTGATGATCACGAGGCGCAAGTGCCTTGGTGAAGATATCAGCAGTGTTGGCCTCAGAGGCCAGGTATGAAAGAGGCAGCTGACCACGCTGCTGTAGCTCACGAGCAAGGAAGTAGCGAAGAGCAATGTGCTTCGTCCTGTGCTCCATTCTCTGCTCTCGACACAAGGCCAGCATGGCCCAGTCACGAGGCGCCTGACGGAGACCGTAGACTGGCCGCCGGAGGCTCCATTGGGTACCAGGAGGGAACGACCCAGTGAAGCCAGGTGGGCGGCGCATCCAGATCTCCTTGTGCAGACTGCCCTGTAAGAACGCTGTGCTGAAGTCCAGAGAGTGAAGCTCGTAGTCACGCTGAGCGGCGACGTGCAGCAGTACCCGAAGAGTGGTCATCTTTGGGGTGGGGGAGAAGGTCTGGAAGAACTCAACTCCTTGTCGCTGATGGAAGCCTCGTGCAACGTAACGAGCCTTGAAGACAGGCGGAGAACCCGACGGCCGCTTCACCCTGAAAATCCACATGCCATCAACTACGTTCGCCCCATGAGGGGGAAGTGCGTCGACGTAAGTGCTTGTGGACTCCTAGGATGCAATCTCTGCGTCCATGGCGTTCTGCCACTGAGAGGAGTATTCATCCGGGATCGCCTCTGCGTAAGAGCGCAGGGTCGGGATGTCTAGAGCATCCGGGTCTCCCTCAGGGGCAAGCATCATGGCCACGAGATGAGACGCAGTGGCTGCAAGACACTCAAAGTCCTCCTACCTATCCTCAAGGACGTACGTGCCAAGAGCACACTCACCCCGACGGACGGAGGACAGACAGACTCAGACTCAGCAACAAGACTATTAGCGAAGTCTAGACGACAGGCGGCAGCAAAGTCAACAAGGTTAGGGACTAAGGCAGACGCAATAGTAGACTCAAACGACGGTTCAGTGACAATAGTGGCTAGTAGATGAGTGACAGCACAGTGAGCAGCACAAACCAGGTCAGACTCAGGGTCCTGAACATTAGGCAGAGAAGACTCAGGAGGAGACGGCAAGGGAACACCCTGTGGAATAGAGGAAGGACGAAGTGCCATAGCGTGCATGCCAGGGACAGGAGGCGGACGCTTGTCATTGCAGATGCACTTAATGCATATGCAATAGCAGTAGAATGATGGTATAGTGTGGGCTTCATACTAAGACCATAGGAAGACTATATAGGAATAAGAGTATAAGTAATAGGAGTAGCATGTAGCGAAGTTACTGTTAGGAGCGGGGGTGTAGAAGGGGGGAAACCGGATAGGAGCGGTTGAGATAAAAAGGGGGAAAGACTTCGAAGGGCGAAATGTGAAACCAATCAACCCCAACCCCGAGCCGCACATTTGGAAATGTGCACCCAGAGGTGGGGTAAGGTCACTCACCTCCAACCCATTGATGCTTTCTTGTTGTTATTGTCTCGAACTAGTGAAGGTTGTTGATTCCAGCTTTAGCACACTGCAGCACATCACTAAGAGGGAACCTACGGGGTGTAGGACTGAGCTCCTTCATAACAACGAGAAAGGTGAGACGGTAGTCTCGTAGTGCGGGCTATATGGACAAGTACGAGCTGCGCTGGGGTAGGGTGTTCAGCCGACGTGAGGATGAGCGGGTGCGACGTGAACCATCACGGGAACGTGGGCGGTCCTGAGAGCGATCGCCACGCCGACCAGCCTTCCGCGTGGATCGGGTCCCGGCCACGAGGGACGGTCGAACAGAAAATGCGAGAGCGGATGCCGAAGGATCGGATTGAAATGCGTGGCTGCTTGAGGGCGCACGCGGGACTCGCGCGGAGGGCGGAAGCCACCGCGACGCAGGGGTGTTCTACCCGCTTGAAGATCGCGGACAGCGCCTCGATGAGAGAGGTCGTTGGCGAGGATTCGAGGAACGACGCCGCGGACTGGGAGAGAACAGCAGTGGCGACGCTCGCGAAGGGGGCTCGCAGGAGAAGGTGGCCCAGGAACCGACGCAGGAGAGGGACGCGGGAGAAGATGAAGGGGAACAAGGAATGCCGGATGAGGAGGCAGAGGTGGAAAGGGCGGATGAGACGCAATCAGAGGGAACGGGCGAGGCGGAAACCCTGCCGGCGGAAGAGCTCAGGGGGATAAGCCAGGCGACGGTGTATGGTAGAGATGAGGAAGGGGAGGAAGTGGAGCAGGATGTGTAGTGTGCCCTTATGGCCTGGAGAGGAAGGGAGGAAATGGGGCTGCGGAGCGGGGGTAAAGATGGCAGGCGGGAGCTGGGAAAGAAGGAACAGGTGAAGGGAGAGAAGCCAGCCGAGCCAGCCCTGGAGCGAGCCCACGCACGCCATCCCCAAGAGAGGCTGGCGTGCCAGACCTCCGTGCTATTGCTGGAGAAGGGGGCCACGGAAGTGGAAGGGGAGAAGGTAAAGGCAGCCATCATAGATACGGGGGCGCAGAGCGTGATGTTGGGCAAGGGGATGGCTGAAAGGCAAGGGGATGGCTGAAAGGCTAGGGCTGCTGGCGCCGGAGAGACATGTGAAAAAGGGGATGTTGGTGATGACAGCGGAAGGGGGGGAACCTAAGTGGATGCCGTGCACACGAACGCCCATAGAAGTGACGCTGCTGCCGGGGGGGGGAGCACGAGACCAAAATCCGCATGAAGTGCGGAATCTCCGAGTCGGACGACTTTGACGTGTTGGTGGGCACCGAGCTGGTGTATGCGGTAGGGATGAGAATATGCACATAGACGGAGAAGGTTGAGTTTAGGATGAGGTACTGGAAGAAGGAGGGGCCGCTGGGAGAGCTGCCAGTGCGGTTTGTGAAGGTAGTGGTGAGGAGGATGGCAGAGCACCATGCGAGGAAGCTGCAAGCGGAGTATCCAAAATTGCTGAGTGAGAAAGTGATCAGAGAAGCTATGGGGGGGACGACCCACGATGTGAAGGAGATAAGTGAGGCGGAGGTGGCGAGCTGGGGGCAGGTAGATCTGCTTGTGGCAGGGTGGGAATGCCAAGGGGTGTCATGGGCAGGCAAAGGGAAGGGAGAAGGAGATCAGAGGACAAGGCTGATGGAGGAGCTGTTCCGAATCCTGGAATGGCTACAGGAGAGGCAGGGCAGGGTGGCGTACTTGCTAGAGAACCTGGACCTACAGGGAGATAGCAGGGAGCCGATCCGACTGGTGAGGGACAGAATCAGGGGGCAGTTGGGAGAAGGGGTGAGCTGTGATGCGGCCAGAATGGGGTCGTATGCACGCATGCTCAGAATGTATTGGCAGAATGTGGTCCCTGCCGTGCAGCTGCAAGCAGAGATAGAGGGGGTAAAGTGAGCAGCAAAGCGGAAGGTGCAGGACATCCTGGCGCCAGGACGTACCCCAGCGCCAGTGTGTCGCAAGAGCTACAACAGGCATGAGCAATGCAACCAAGCGGGGCAAGAGCGTTGAGCCCTGCCCACTCTGGTGGCATATGAGGGGGCAGCAGGGTACAAGAGGGACTTGGAAAGACCAGACACTAGGATGCGACGCTGCATGCCACGGAGACGTGGCAAGGAGGGGTGACCCAGGTGGTGGTGCCAGAGAAGAGTCTGGTGCGACAGGGAGCGACACGAACAAAGGGAGGCTACCTGACCTGACGCAAACACCTGACCAGTAGCAGCTGTTAGAAACAAGAAGTGTTGAAGTAGAAAGGTTTTAGAGTACAAGTAGGAAACCCTAGAGAAGTGTACCCTCTAAAAGCTAACCCACTGTAGCCCACACATAACGTACAAGTAGAAAACATAAAAGATGTTTGACACACCCCCATAGGCTAAGTGGGGGAGAGCAAGGGGTCACAAGACCAGTCAAGAAAGACACGGCTAGCTCAGGGTGGATCACAACGTCACCACACACTCTGAGCACAAGCAAAGGGCCACAAGGCCAGTTCACATGCAGAGGCATATAAGTAGCACAAGCATCACAGTGATCTATATCTAGCAAGCATGCAGGAGTATATATATAGATCACAGTACAGGCAAAGTCTACAACAAGTGAGGAAAAGTGGGCACAAGCCCTAACAAAGTGCAGAAACGCTGATGATCCCCAGACTGAAGTGCCTTGGTGAATATATCAGCAGTGTTGGCCTGACTGGCCACGTAACGCAGACGAAGCTGACCACGCTGTTGCAAATCTCGAGCCAGAAAGTACCGTAGAGCGATGTGCTTCGTTCTGTGCTCCAATTTGTGCTCCTCACACAAGGCAATGGCAGCCTTGTTGTCGACGTACAGCAATGGAGGAGAACGAGGCCGCTCTCCCAGGTCGGTCAGCAGGTAGGTGAGCCAGCATAACTCCTGTGCAGCCATGGCTGTGGCGTAGATCTCAGCCTCACAACTGGAGCTGAGAACTGAGGACGAACGAGTAGAACGCCACGAAAATGAACCAGAGCCAAGGCTGAAGGTGTAACCCTGTGACGACCGCTGAGTAGCCTGGTCGTCAACCCAAGAAGCGTCTGAGTGCCCAATGAGAACAACTGAGCTCCCCCCTCCAAGCACGAGCCCCATGCCCGATGTATTGCACAAGTAGCGCAATACCCTCTTCGCAGCATCCCACTGCACCTTTAGGTGCCTACCAAGAGCCACGTAGCGGGCCAGAAGGCCAAGAGGGTACGCTAGGTCAGGACGAGTGCAACTCATCAGGTACATGAGGCAGCCAACTAGCTCTGGGTAAGGACCACTCGGCTCTACGGACTCATCCGAAGGCAGAGCTGAGAGCGAGTGACCTATAGCCAGAGGAGTGGCCTGTGCGGAGGACCAGGTGAAGCCGAAGCGCTGAAGGACCTGCTGCACCATGTGTGACTGAGTCAGTGTGATGGTGCGGCGTGCTCTGTCCCGGATGATCTGCAAGCCAAGGTAGCTGCGCAGCTCACCCAGGTCTGTGCAAGTGTGTCTCTTCTGCAGCTCCGACTTCACGTGGGCGAGAGCCTTAGTGTCAGCAGTGGCAAAGACCAAGTCGTCGACGTACACGAGGATGTAGAACGGCGGCAGCGAAGTGTCGGTGCGCAGAAACAGCGATGGGTCAGCAGTAGAAGGCGCGAACTCCAGTGCCGCAAGAGTAGTCCTCAGTCTGTTGTGCCACTAACATGGCGCCTGGCGGAGACCGTAGACCGGCTGCCGGAGGCTCCACTGGGTACCAGGAGGGAACGACCCAGTGAAGCCGGGAGGGCGGCGCAGCCAGATCTCCTCGTGCAGGCTGCCCTGCAAGAAAGCTGTGCTGAAGTGAAGAGAGTGAAGCTCGTAGTCACACTGACAAGCAACGTGCAGTAGCACTCAAGGAGTGGTCATCTTCGGGGTGGGGGAGAAGGTCTGAAAGAAGTCTACTCCCTCTCGCTGACTGAAACCTCGAGCAACGTAACGAGCCTTGAAGACAGGCGGAGAACCAGGCGGCCGCTTCACCCTGAAAATCCACATGCCACTGACGATGTTCGCCCCAGGAGGGGGAACCTCGTCGACGTAAGTGCCAGTGGACTTCCAGGATGCCATCTCTGCGTCCATGGCTGACTGCCAGTGAGATGAGTACTCACCCGCGATCGCCTCAGCGTAAGAGCGCGAGGTCGGGATGTCTAGAGCATCCGGGTCTCCCTTAGGGGCAAGCAGCATGGACACAAGATGAGGCGCAGCTGTTGCAAGACACTCAATGTCCTCCTGTCTGTCCTCAAGGACGTCCGTGCCTAGAGCACACTCACCCCCGACAGACGGAGGACAGACAGACTCAGACTCAGCAACAAGACTAGCGGCGTAGTCTAGACGACAGCGAGCAGCAAAGTCGACGAGCTCAGCAACTAGGGCAGACGCAGCAGCAGACTCAAAGGAAGGGTCAGTGACAGTAGTGGCTAGAAGACGCGTGACAGTAGGAGTGGCAGCACGAAGAGAGTGAGACTCCGGGTCAGCGAGAACAGGAAGAGAGGACGCAGGAGGAGACAGCACAGGGACACGCTCTGGAGCACTGGAAGGACGCAGAGTCATATAGTGTGTGCTAGGGATAGGTGGAGGACGCTCACGCGGAACACGGCGACCAATGCAAGCACCACGAACAGGTGACACAGGACGAGACACAGGCGACACAGGACGAGACTCAGGCTCACGACGCTCTGTAAGACCGTCTGTCAGACCAGTGTAGGGAGGACCAGGAAGTGGCGAGGCATGCGGTAGTTGTGACTGCGACTGGATAGGTGGAGGACACTCTAATGAGGGAGGAGGACTAGGAGGAGGTGGCGGACTAAGAGTCTGTTGAAGGAGTGGAACAAAGTACGGCCGCAGCCGTGAAGTGCCCCGAGAAGTAGTAGACACAGCACCAGAACCTCCAGCCGAACCAGCACCAACAGCACCTCCAGCAGCTCCAGTACCTCTAGCAGCACCAGTACCTCCAGCAGCACCAGTAGCACCTCCAGCAGCTCTAGCAGCACCTCCAGCAGCTCCAACAGCAGCAGCACCTCCAGAAGCTCCGGGACCTCCAGTAGCAGCAGGGCCTCCAGCGGGCTGTACCCCAGCATCAGGAGCTCCACTCCGGAGGCTTCAGCGCCGAGCGTACCACTCACGTAGCCACTGAGGGGAGGGAGGCTCCGGCTGCGACACTGCACCCGCAGGGCCACCAGCCCCAACTCCAGCAGACCCCCCAGCTCCAGTAGCCCCACGACGGAGGCTGTAACGCTTGGAGTACCACTCACGCAGCTGCTGTGAAGAGGAAGCGCCAATAGGCGCAGTACGGTCATTCTCTGAACCCCCAGCCTTAGCTCCTCTAGGCTCAGCACCCCTAGTAGCAGCACCCCCAGGCTCAGCACTCCCACTAGCAGCACCCCCAGGCTCAGCACCCCCAGTCTCCGCACCCCTGGGCTCAGCACCCACAGGCTCAGCACCCCCAGTCTCCGCACCCCCAGGCTCAACACCCCCAGTCTCAGTAACCCCAGACCCAACACCACCAGGCTTAGCACGCTCAGCACCTCGCGAAGGACCAGAGTCAACAGCTACCTTGACAGGCTCGACCAAGTCTACCTGGGACACACCTGAGGGAGCAGCACCCTAGGGAGGGAGGGGGTCTACCGACGGAACACCTGGGGTGAGGAAGAGCGGCGGGGGGCGGAGCGGGGCAGGGCGGTAGGGGAAGAGACGGTATCAGGGTATCGACTCGTCAAATGTGACGTCCTGAGAGGCAAAGACACGACGCGAGGTGGGGTGGTAAAACTGCCAGCCAGGCGCGTCCGGGACAAAGCCAAGGAAGACACACGGAATGGCACGGAAGGAGAGCTTGTCCGCGGACGTATCGCAAACAAAGGCTTGATATCCCCAGAATCGGAACACCAACGCATCGCGAACCTCCCCCGTCCAACGCAGGGTAGGCGAGGTCTCCGGAATAGAGACACGAGGCCAGAGGTTGAGCTGATGCGCGGCGTACTGCACTGCAAACGGCCACCTTAAATGGGGGGCAGCCGCATGGATCATGGAGGTACGAGCGACCTCCATGACGAGACCAATGCGGCGCTCAGCAGCCCCATTCTGCTGCGGAGAGGCCAGGAGAGTGAACGTCTGGCGGATGCTGTGCTCCGCACTGTAGGCTGCCATGAGGTCAGAGGAAAACTCGCCACCTCTGTCATAGTGCAGACGTAGGACAGGAAAGTCCGACTAGAACCGCTCGCGGAGCTGGAGACGAGCAGCGCGCATCCAGGGGATCAAGACATAAGGGACCTCACCCTTGGTACGGAAGGGGAAGACCGTGGTGTAGCGCGTGTAGTCGTCGACGACCAGCAGAAAGTACCGCTCGTGGCCCTGTCCGTGGACGCGGGCGGGGCCCCTCAAGTCTAGGTGGAGAGTCTGAAGGGGAGCCTCTTTGGGAGGGAACGAGGAAGAGTGAGAGCGGCGCACTGCCGCCCCTCAACACAGGGAAGACAGGGAGGAGCAGGCGAGGGTGGGAGGGGAGGTAGAACCCTGGGAAGACCAGAGACAAGGTACGTGGAGTGCATGCCGCGAAGGCGCTGCACTGACGGGTGACCAAGGCGGTGGTGCCAGAGCACAGTCCGATGCAACAGGAAGCGACACGAGCAGGGGGGCGATAGGTGACCTGGTGCAGATGCAGACGCAGCTACCTGAGGGGACTCAGTGGTCAGTGTGTACAAGTCCGGCCCCGGCTGCGGAGTGAAGGTAGCCAGGTGACGACCCGTCTGGGCACACGTGCAGTGCGTCACACGCTCGTAGGTAGGGTTGAACTGGTGAACACCCGCGTCGTGGAGCGCAGAACCCGCCACCAAGTTTGTAGAGGCCCGACAGCGTGCCAGACGGGAAAGCAGGACAAGGGAGGGCAGGGGTGGAGGTCGCAAGGACCGGACCCCCAGAGGGGTCAGCCAGAGAGACAGCAACCGGTCTAGGAAGCTGCTCTAGGGCAGTGCGGTCACGAAAGAAACAGCGGGAAGCACCTGAGTCCGGTGTGAAGGTGTGCAGTGCCTCAGTAGGTGCGGTACCAGCAGACGCAGACGCACTAGCACCTAGGGCAGCAGCCTCACCAGGACCTAGAGCAGCACACGCACTAGCACCTAGAGATGCAGCCTCACTGGTCCCAATACCCGGGTCGGGCGGTACACTCAGGTAACAGTCACCCTCAACACTAATAGTCAATGCATACATAGCAGCAAGGATAGCATCATAATCAAGAGCAAAGATATCAATTCCCTTCTTAAGCAGATCAGCCCAGCAGGGCAGCTCAGAGGCGTCAGGAAACTGCTCGTGCCAGGCGTCGTCGAGGCGAAAGAAACAGCGCTGCGCCTTGTGAAACCTCCCACATGTCTGGCCAGTGCGGTCACTTGTGCGGATGACGTACGGGCAGGTACCTCCTCCCCAAGACCCCCCACGCTGAGAGTACCACTCACGTAGCTGCTAGAGCGACGGGGTCTCGCTGGGACGCTGCTGCTGCTGCCTCTGGCCGCCGCCGAGCCCGCCACGCTGCACCGCTCCACCGCGCCCTCCACCAGCTCCACCGCCACCACCGCCGCCACCACCACCCCCGCCACCTCCACCACCGCCGCCACCACCACCCCCGCCACCTCCACCACCGCCGCCTCCACCACCCTTGGTTCCGCCACCGCCCCCCCCCCCACCACTAGCACCACTCCCACCACCGCCGCCACCTCTGTCGCCCCCTCCACCCCCTCCACCACTGCATCCCCCGCCGCCACCTCCGCCACCCCGGCCTCCCTTGCCCCTGCCGCCCTTGCAGCGCCCACTGGGGGCGTACGCAGCTGCGACCCCCTCAGCACCTAGGAAGTCGACAGCAGCAGCAGATGCAATGGAGGGGAGAAGGGGGGAGGGGGAACATCCCTCAAAGAAGGGAGTGCGAGGGTCGCCACAAGAGGCACCTACATCTACAATGCTCTTCTCGGCTGCAAGGAGTTCCTTCTCGAGGAGGTCGACAGTGAGGTCTGTGGGGGAGACCGCAAGAAAGTGGTCCTTGATAGCGCGAAGAGAGTCAGGGAGGCGAGTGACTAGGTGGTAGAGGGTGAGGTACATCGGAGGGGGTTCTTGGCTAGGAAATCGGGGGGGAGCGCGGCACGGTAGTGGAGATCACTAGTACGGAGGTGAGTGATGAGGTCAGCTACAGTGGCAAAGGCAGACAGATCTGGGAAGAGATAGGGCAGTGAAAGACGGCCTATCGCAGCAGTGGCAGGGGAGGAGTAGCGTGCAACTACAGCATCGTACAGCTCCTTAGCGGTCTTATGCTGGCCGAAGTGCTCGCGCTCATCTAACAGCAGGTGACTGCAAACGGCTAGACGAGCATGGGCGTCACGAGTCTTCCACATTAAGCGAGCACTACTGTCAGCAGTAGCAGCAGGTGCGGGGGCAGCGCCGGGAGTGTGGTCATATAGGGAAACGTCGTCCTTGGCAGTGATCTGGAGGAACAGGTGAAGGTCATCTAGCCAGACATCAAACTTAATCGGTCGGCCCTCGGCATCAAAAGTGAGAACAGTGGGACTGGCCATAGTTGCAGGAGCAGTAGTAGCAGTAGCAGTAGTAGCAGTAGCAGTAGTAGCAGTAGCAGTAGCAATAGTAGCAGTAGGAGAAGCAGTAGGAGCAGTAGCAGTAGCTGCTGTACGTGGGGCGGCGCGGCTCGGTAAGGGCGGCGCGGTTCGGGCGGCGCGACTCGGGCGGCGTGGCTCGGGCAGGGCGGCGCAGTGCGGCTCGGACTAGGCTACGCGGCACGGGGCGACGGAGGGCCTGCGCGTGGGCGGCTCTAGCGGGCGGTCCGTGGCTGTGCGTGGTTTGCAGTCGCGCGTGGGCGGTGGCTTACGTGGGCAACGCGATGGCCTACGGGCGGTGCTGTGGGCCGCTAGCAAGCTACGCGCGGCCAGGAGGGCCGGTCGACGGGCGGCTAGGGGGATGCTCGTGTTGGCGTGGGCGGCTAACAGTCAGCGCTCGCGCAGATACGGCTGCGCGCGGGCTGCTAGCGCGCGACGCGCGCTAAAGAAAAAGGCCGCGCGCGGCACTAGCGAGCTACGCATGGGCAGCAGGAGAAGGAGAGGCGCACGAGGGCGCACTAGGAGAGAGGCGCTCGAGGGCGCTAAATCGATACGGCACTTGAGGGCGCTTCTAACGGTGTGTCCTTAGGTAAGTCCTAGGTCTAGGACCTAAGCTCTTAATACCATGTCCGAAACAAGAAGTGTTGAAATAGAAAGGTTTTGGAGTACAAGTAGGAAACCCTAGAGAAGTGTACCCCCTAAAGGCTAACCCACTGTACCCTACACAACAGAAACATATATAATGTTTGACAGCAGCTACCTGAGGGGATGCAGTAGTCAGTGTGTAAAGACTCGACCCTCGCCGACGAGTGAACGTGGCCAGGTGTCGGCCAGTCCGCGAGCACGTACACATCGCCACACACTCCCCTCCAGGGGTAAAGGTATCAATCCATGCATCCAGGAGGACGGTGTTGCTCACCAGGTTCGTAGAGAACGAGGGGAGGTAAAGACCTGCCAGTGAGCCAGACGGAACCGCCGGGCACGGAAGCACAGTGGTGGACCGTGCAAGAATTGGACCCCCTGAGGGGTCAGCCAGAGACACTGCAACAGGTGCAAGGAGTGGCGTGAGTGCGGTACTGTCGCGAAAGAAACAACGGGAAGCACTTGAGTCAAGCGTGAAGGTGTGCAAGGCCTCAGCTGGCGTAGTACCTGAGAGAGCAGACCCGCTAGCACCTAAGGCAGCAGCCTCACTAGCACCTAGAGCAGCAACCTCTATACTGGGGTCGTACTGCACACACAGGTAACAGTCACCCTCAGCACCACCAGGCAAAGCATACATAGCAGTAAGGATGGCGTCATAGTCCAAAGCAAAGACAACAACGCCCGATCTAAGCAGCTCAAGCCAATGGGGGATCTCAGCCTCGTTGCCAAACTCTGCGTGCCAGGCGTCACTCAAATAGGCGAAGCAGCGGGACTGTGCGTGACCAGGTGTCCCACATGTCTAACCAGCTCGACAACCTGTGCGAATGACGTACGGGCAGCGACCAGGACTTGGAGACGTCCCACACTGGTAAAACCACTCACGAAGCTGCTATGACATAAGGGTCGGACGCCGCCGTAGCTGCATCTGGCCACCGCCAGAAACTTCGCAACAAACAGCGCCATAATGACTGCTACTACGGCCGCCACCACTCCCATTTCTGCCACCACCACCGTCAGCACTCCCACCGCTACAACAGAGTGAAGTCATGGCGGGCAAGCTAGGAGGAGCGCGACCTCTAGGGCAGTACGGAGTGAAGGCAGTAGCACGAGGAGTAGCAGCAGTAGTAAGAGCACCAGAGCGGCTCGGTGAAGCTAGGCTGCATCACCTCCAGCACTCCTAGCAGCACCTCCACTAGCAGCAGCAGTAGCACGAGCAGCAGGGCGGATCGGGTCGGGTAGGGCGACTCGGCTCGGCCTGGGTGGTGCGGGCAGCAGGGCGCGTACTGTACAGGGCAGCAGGGCTCGACGCGCGTGCTGCAGCAGGGCGCGACGCGCAGGGCAGCAGGGCGCGACGCGCGGGCTACAGCAGAGCGCGACGCGCGGGGCAGCAGCGCGCAACGAGCGGGCTGCCGTAGGGTGCGACGCACAAGGCAGCAGCGCGGGTGCAGGGCAGGGCGCAGGCGCGGGGCAGGGCGCCGGCGAAGGGCAGGGCGCCGGCGAAGGGCAGGGCGCCGGCGCAGGGCAGGGCACCGGCGCAGGGCAGGGCGCTGGCGCAGGGCAGGGCGTCGGTGCAAGGCAGGGGGCTGGCACAGGGGAGGGCGCTGGCGCAGGGTAACGCGAGGCAGGGCAGGGCAGGGCGTGCGCTAGGTAGCGCGACGACGTAGGGCAAGGCAGGGCGTGCGCATAGCAGCGCGACGAGGGACCCAACAAGGCGTGCGTGGGGCAGTGTGACGCAGGGTAGTGGGGTAACGCAGTAACTGCAGTCGGTCGCTAAGTATGGTGGGCTCGGAAAAAAAAACGGTCCTACGGACCTACTGTTCTGAAACCATGTCAGAATACCAAGCACGATTGGTTGCATTGAATGGATTGTGGGTACAAGTACCAACCCTAATATTGGGTTGTACCCCACTATACCCTACACACAACTAGCACAGATACGGTTTGACACTTTTAATTGAGTATCGGCCATAAGCATATGCGCTTATATAATGACTAACAAAGAAATGCAACTTAAACACATCAAATTGTACATTTAAGCCTCGTAAGCTCAATCGAGTCGACATTTTATAGCGTCATGAATTTGAATCGCGTGAGGGCGATTCTTTGACGCTGCACATAGCTTTTCGCACGTCAATTTGCCCACGTGCCACCTCATCTTGACTGGACGCAAAACCAGTCAGAACTATGAAAGTCAAATAAAGTGAAAATGGGTGTTGACTCGCTTGAAATTCAAAATTCGTTATTGTTTTAATCAAGATTGAAAAATAAAATTATGCATGCACTTATAATATATCAGGGTTTTACAGGGGGGCGCTGATAATCGAGTTTCGGCCATAAGCGCCATGCTCCAGATAGAAGCGCCGACGCCTTTAATCGGACGGCGCCTATATCCGGGGCCATACGGTACATTAGATTTTTTGGGGGTGGCGAGAATTTGCTGTTGTTGGAGCTTCGTCACCAAACCAGATTCCATGCCTCCCTGGTTCGGATTCAAACTTGCGGTTTGACTTTAGTTCGCACCCCTCGCTTCACCCCTCGTCAAACTAACCACCTCGTTAACCAATCACAGACGAGCTACCCTCACCAACTTCCAGCCAATTTTTTTACTTGAGATCCTGGCTTTAAGACAGAGCTATATATTTTGTCTGATCCATAAGACTAGTGATTTCAGTTCACCTGATTTTATAGAGCTAGCATATTACTTAAGTCTGAAATTTCAGATAGCGAGTTACTTTTCATTTGATACCGCCCCCCCCCCTTCTCCCCCCTCCCCCCCCACCCTCCCCCCTTTTCACCCCCAATCCCACACTCCCCAACCAGCTCAGCCCACCCCTTCGATGCCCTCGCAAGCTCCTGTCTCAGGCCTAGTCAAGCCCTTCTCCCCCTTCCCCCCTCTGAGGTCCCCAGGTCCCCACTCCAAGCATAGCTCGCTTCCCCATGTCCCTCGTTGCGTCGCGTCTTGTAGCCCAGCCCCACCTTCCCTTGGGGTCCCTCCACCCGCCCTGGTTCCTCACATCCCCTCATGCCACGTGCATACAAATTACCCAACAGCCCCTCTCTCAGCCCAGGTTGCCACACATCTATCGGCTAGCGAACTCGCTGCGTCGCGCCAACGACTTGCTCATTAACGAAAAAAATGAGTGATTACGCTGGAAATGTGTGGTAGCTGAATCAGACTATGCAGATTAATTAGTCCGGAAAATCAGACAAAGCTCCAACATTTGTCTAAAAATACAGACAACAAAAATCAGCCCGACTGAACATCAGACGAAACGTTTTTTGACTTTGGTTTTTTCAAACGGGCCTAAATCGTAGCACAAGCCTTGCTACTGGTGTCACTACTTATGTTAGTATCGAGATAGTAGGAGCAGTGAATGAGATGACTATCGAGAGAGTTGGGTACAAAATAGGAACAAGGGGTTGTACCTTATAGTGGCTACCCCACTACAACCTAGATAAATAACCTAAGCATATATGTTTGACACATCCCCATAGGCAAAGTGGGGGAGAACAAGGGGTCACAAGACCAGTCAAGACAAGCAAAGCAAGCTGAGGGTGGATCACAACGTCACCACACACTCTGAGAACAAGCAAAGGGCCACAAGGCTAGTTCACATGCAGAGGTATATAAGTATCAGCAAGTAGTACAGTAATCACTACCTAGCAAATGTAGGCATGCAGGTCTATAATAGAGATCATAGTGCAAGCAAGGTCAAGAGGTAAGCAGGTGAGATGAAACAGGTTCAAGGCCAAGAGCAGTGCAGAAGCGCTGATGGTCACTAGGCGGAAGCGCCTTGGTGAACACATCAGCAGTGTTGGCCCGAGTGGCCACGTACGCAAGACGGAGCTGTCCACGCTGCTGCAGCTCTCAAGCCAGGAAGTAACGCAGAGCAATGTGCTTCGTTCTGTGCTCTAGTTTGTGGTCCTGACACAAGGAAATCATGGCCTTGTTGTTGATGTACAGAACTAGAGGAGAACGAGGCCGCTCTCCTAGGTCAGTGAGCAGGTAAGTGAGCCACCGTAACTCCTTGCAGCCATGGCCCCAGCGTAGATCTCAGCCTCACAACTAGAACTGAGAACCGAAGAAGAGCGGGTAGACCGCCACAAAACAGAGCCAGAACCAAGGCTAACGGTGTAACCCTGTGACGACCGCTGCGTAGCCAGGTCGTCGACCCAAGAGGCGTATGCGTGACCAGTGAGGACAACTTGACTCCGTCCTCCAAGCACAAGCCCCATGCCCGACGTACTGCACAAGTCATGCAACACCCTCTTAGCAGCCTCCCAGTGCTCTCGCCGGTGTCTACAGGGAGCAACGTAGCGAG